ATATATATATATATACATATATGTATATATGTATGTATATATATATATGTATGTGTATATATATATATATATATATATATATATATATATATATATATATATATGTATATATGCATATATGTATATATGTATATATGTATGTATGTATATATATATAGTGTATATATGTATATGTGTATGTATGTATGTATGTATGTATGTATGTATATATATACAGTGCATGGCTTAATTTTTAGTGACTGTTTTAGTGACTGTTTTTTTCAGCTAGGAATGCTGTTGGACAAATTTTTAGTGACTGTTTTTATCAGCTAGGAATGCTAGGAACACTGTTAGCATTATGGCATGGTGCCGAGTCATGCATGAACATATACTCTTTATTATTGATAGTCCTGAACTAAAAAAACTTGCAAAAAATTTTTCCAAAAATAAATAATAGAATTTAATTTTGAAATAACTCCAACCAAACTTTTCAACAATCGACAACTAAATGAGTAATAAGCTAACTTTTTGACAGATATGGTAAACTGAAAGTATTGCCACTATTTAAAAACATTAACAATGGTATCAGTAACTAAAATACACAAGATAAATTATTTAAAAACAATATATTTGCTCACAAAATTCATTTCAACTTTGTAAAAAAGTAAAGTATCACTAATAATTTGGCCACCCACTGTAAATATATATATATATATATATATATATATATATATATATATATATATATATATATATATATATATATATATATATATATATATATATATATATATATATATATATATATATATATATATATATATATATATAATATATATATATATATATATATATATATATATATATATTATGCCGCTATCTAAATATCTTTTTTTTTTCTAAACACATTGGCTCACTTTGGGATTAAAGTGAGCCATTAATGTAATTCCAGAAAAATTAGACAATTTTTAGTCATAATAATTTTGGGTAAAATTTTGAAGTTTTCAATTATTTGTGTTTTTTTCAAATATTCATGTGTTAAAAATTTTTTAGAAAAACTTATTTACGAACCAATTTTCAAGTCTTCAAGTCAATAGTTTGCAGAAATCTCTTTAAAATTGGCGGTGTTTAATAGTTGTTAGAGTCAGGGTTGTAAATACACGCTACCGTTGTTATGCGCCGTTGTTATAAAACAGCTATATAACAAACCCCTTCCCTAAACAACTAATTTTCTTTAAGCCAGTCAATGAAAATGGACCTTAATTAAAAAATGCGAGTGATTGAGGACTTTTTTTTAAAGTTTGAAAATGACATTACTACACACTCCTATCAACAAGTGTTCGCGCCAGCTCCAGTTGGAACTTTTTATTATATGCAAGGGCATATATTTTTAACACCACATCTTCAACGATTTTTGATTATAAACTTATCTTTTTGCAAATAAGTTTTTTATTTTTTTTAATTTGTAACACTTCTCACTTTAATTTTTTTTATAGTTTTTGTAATGAAAGTAACACCAAGTTGGATGTTTTTAATACGATTTTTGAAATGTGTTCTTCCCTAAAAGAGTTCATTAAAATCACTTTTATATACGTCTCAATTGTCCAAGTCATAAAAAAAAGGTTTTTGATTTCAATATATATTTGTCACATACTAATTTGTAAAATTACTCTGAAGAAAGTAATAATATACATATATGTATATAATAATCTGACTTCTTTGCATTTCTCTTGTATTTGGTTCTGCTTTGGTTTTTAGCTAGAATAAAGTTATGTCTTTTTACCTGTCCGTAAACGTTTTTAGAAGCTTTAGATGTGAGTTTTACAGCTCTTTTTACCGATTGAGAATTGTTTGGCAGATCAGTAAGAGAGAATTTATTACCAGTTTGAATGGCTTGTAGTAACTCATTTGAAGGAACAAAAACTGAAGTAGGAGGCTCAACCTGTATTGAAGAAACCTCAATTAAGTCTGTCCAAGTGTCAGCTTTGATGTTTAAGGGCATAACTGTTAAATTTATAAATAAATAAAAAAAAACTTGCTTTGAATACCTTTGTACCTTTTTAATGAAAATTTATCACAAAAATGACATCTTTATAATTCATTTAGCAGTCCTGTTAATAAATAAAAATAATAAACCGATATATTTTTAGACAATATAAGTAGTATAAATCATTTAAAAAAGAAAAAAAGTTTATTTTATAAAGTTTCGAAAAATTTTGAATTATGGCTGCTTTTTTGAGGTTTTGCTCCACTGTGCATTGGTAAGGAAGGAGGTTTGAACTTCCTAGTTTAATACTTTTGATGTACTGTGTGGCAAAACCATTAGGTCTTCTTGGAACACCTAAAACAAAAAACAAAAATTTTTTTTTATAAAACTTATAAAAGTTCTTTAAAAATATCTCTTTTAATCAAATTTGTTTTTAAAATCCAAATTCAGCTTTCAGTAAAATTCGGTTTAGAAGTCCAAATTTATCTTTCAGTTGAATTCGCTACATATACAGCTTTAATTTTTCTTTCAGTTAAATTTGGTATACGCATATGATCTAAATTCGACTCTTAAAAAGTTGACTTTGCTGGTCCTTAGTTGAAATATAGTTGTAATAAAACTTTCTAATGTGCAGATAAAAAATGGTAAAGATGTTAAAAGGTTGATGGATGAGGAAGAATTAGAAATTCGGAGATGTGAAGAGATATTTAATTATATTTTATTTATTAGTTTAACTAGTAGAAATCTGCTACATCTACTAATTTTGTTCTTTTTTTCAAAGATGTCATCTCTATTCTACCCACTTGGTTATCAGAGATTTGATAGTATTTTTATTATGTTTTTAACTCTATTTTATATTTTTTATAACTTTATTTTTAAACAATTTAAAACATTGCAGTGCATACTGCAATGTATGTTTTGGCTAAGTTGTAAAAATAACAAATACATGTTGCAGTGTAGCTCATCTTATTGTCATCAAAGATTTAAAAATTCAACTCAGTACATTCTACAAATTCTATTCAGTATTTTTTTGTTTAGTAATTTTTTGATAAGTTTAAACTCCTATTTACTCTTAGTTCTTAATACTTATTCAAATAAAGACCTTTTTTTTTTTGAAAAACTATGTGTTGCAATCACTAATAAGGTTTATACAACTTGAAATTGTTTTATTGCAGACCAAATTTCTTCTGCTTTAACTTGAACAGAACAAATACCTTGCAAACACTCTTTAGGAACAATTTGATTACTAATTTCACAAAAATTTTAAAGAATCCAGCATGTAGTATTTTAATAGAAATTTCAATAAATAAATCAATTCGTTTAGAGATGTACTGGAACCTTTCTTTAAGTGTTCCAAAAGCATTCTCTGGCACTACACGAGATCTATTCAGCAAAAAGTTCAAACTTTTTTCCACTTTTGAAAGATTTCCACCACCTGAATAAGGTTTCATTAGACATTCTTCCAAAGAGTATGCAGAATCACCTAAAATTAAAGAAGATATTTTTTTCCCTGTTATGTTTCTTGATAAATTATTTGGTAAGAAGCTTTTTTGCTGGCATTCTAAGTGTAAAGGAGAGTTTTTGAACACACAAGAATCATGAGACTTGCCTGTCCAACTAACAAATATGTCTCTGCTATTGAATGGTAATCTTTGCAATTAATCCTCTGAATTTTCTTTCAGTGCTTTTATTTTTTTTTATAGCACCCATCTATTGCACCAACTACAAGTGGAAAAAATATTCCTTCAATTTCTTTTACCTTTGCTTCTTGGGGTAGATAGTAGTACCCAAACCAAAAAGATTGCTTATTGTTTAAATCTCAGAAGACCCAGAGAAAAAATACAAAGTTACTTCGACTTTCTGTTTAACTAAAACAGTTTTTCTATAGTTAGTGTCTTTTATTTTTATATATAGTGTTAATTCTGAACAAAAGTATATAAATGCTTGTTTTGATATTCTTATATTTACAGTCAGATTCCAATACTTCTTCATGTTATCAAAATAAAAGTGTTAAGATCCTAATTTTATCCTAAATGCCCGAGGCCTGAAGACAATGCTGAATAAAATTTGATTTATCATTTCCAAATGAAAGTTACTTCGCTGTTGATGTTTTATCATTTCCAAATGAAAGTTACTTCGCTAGCGTTGTTTTATCATTTCCAAATGAAAGTTACTTTGCTGGCATTGTTTTAACATTTCCAAATGAAAGTTACTTCGCTGGTGTTGTTTTATCATTTCCAAATGAAAGTTACTTCGCTGGCATTGTTTTATCATTTCCAAATTAAAGTTACTTCGCTGGTATTGTTTTATCATTTCCAAATGAAAGTTACTTTGCTGGCATTATTTTATCATTTCCAAATGAAAGTTACTTCGCTGGTTTTCTATAATACTTCAGAAAGTTAACTTAAGTTAAAAAAAATTTTAATATCTATTTATTTTTAAAATTTTTTATTTAAAAAAAAGTTTGATTTGACTAAATTATTATATAAAAGAATTTTTATGTCAGTTAGTAATTTTCAGTTTCGTGAAAATAAGTCTGATTTTTTTTTTTTTTTTTTTTTTTGCAAGTGCTTCAAAAAAAAAAAGCCACAAAACAAGTAAAAAAATATATTTGCAAGAGCACTAAAATGCTCAGTAAACATAGATGTCTATAGTGAGCAAAATATATGGTTGTTTATTTTTAAAATGTTGTTCAGTTTAAAAGCAATTTTTATTTTTAATTATTATTTTCTAGATAAATTATGTTAATTATTTTTAATTATCATTTTCTAGATAAATTATGTTTTCTAAATAAATTACGTTAATTATTTTTAATTATTATTTTCTAGATAAATTATGTTTTCTAAATAAAATGCTTAATAGAACAATTAACATCCAAAATGAATAAGAGTTTATTATCAATCTTTTAAATAAACCTGTTACTCTCCTAGGCAGGGGTGATACTAACTAAATACTTTTTCTAGATAAAACTGCTGGTATGTCTTGTGCCAGATATACATGTATTGACTTATTTTGAAAAAATTATATTTTATAGAAATGGTACCAGTTCTAATTCACAACCTGCTTTGAACTTTGCTACACCTCCATTGTTGCACAGACCATCACCAGATTTACCAGTGATAAATGATTATCAGTTTCAAATAGCTCTTCTTGCTTATCTAACATTAGCTATGTTTATACAGTATCTCAACATATATAAAACTAATTTTTATGAAATAGATTTATATATGATAGCATTTCTTATGATTGTTTTGCTACGACATATTGGGTGGCTATTACTTAAGCAAGTAAGTTTTTTTTTTTTTCATTTTAAAAAAATCCTAACCTTATAACCTTATAATTTTATTATATTTAAGTTATAAAAGTTTACTTATTTAAAATTATCAAAAATTATTTATTTAAAATTATAAAAAAAATCCAACTTTTATATTTTCTATTTCACTTTTATAAACAAAAGAAATCATTTTTGCACACAACATATATTTTTTACAACATAACATCCTGATCTTACATCATAGCATTCTTATGTTACATCATTACTGCAATTTTCATTGGAATCTGGAGTATTGTTTTTTATTACATGGTGGTTATGCGAGTTAACAATTGGTTTGATCTTTTGCATACAACTGTAATTCACCTTTTGAGTATTTCTATTAAAAATTTTGTGGTATTTATAGCCAATTGGGAAATGCTTGTCTATTAAATCTAAAATGAGTTTACCAATTTTGGTAGAAACATTTTTACTATGTGGGGGCGAGGGGGGGTGGTAAGAGTTTTTTAATGTAATTAAGTTTAAATTTAACCAGACTTTTTTAATGCATCCTAATACAAATGGACAGAGTTTAGAAAAATAGTTTTATTAAATAAATTAGCTCGACAATCAAGGAAGTTCACAACTTTTATATTTTTTATTGTATCTAGTATCACTTGCATTTTTAAAAACTGCTTACCCATCATCTTGGTTTAAGCCAAAATCTGTTTTGTCATAATGCTTGAAAAATAAGAAAAATTCAGACTAACTCACATACCTCTGCGCCATCAAAAGCACCTATTGCAACATCAAACAAACCACTGTTTTTTTTTTATTATAATTCAAATTTGCTCATTATCAAACAACAACAATTTTCAGCTTTGTTTAATTATTAGTTTATATAGTTTTTTATTAACCATTTTTAATGGTTACATATTTCTCAGCAAATTTAATTGTCATTCAAAGGATTTTCATTCATAGAAGGATAAAAATCAATTGTGTCAAAAATTAGAAATTTATAAAAATATATTTCAGCTCAGCAACAATATTAAATAAACTAAATTTACTGATCCCTCTGATTTCATTTTTCACTGGATTTAAAAGATGTACAGTCGATTTGTTTAAAAAAATTTTTTTATGATCTTTTAAAGTGGTAAAACAGTTAGATGATGTATTAGTTTCAATTCTGTTGAAAATTTCATGATTTTTTAACTTTCCCCTTCATGTTTTGAGTTTTATTTATTCGTGGTTCTGATTTTTCATTAGATGTAGTTATTAAATTGGTAAGCAGTTTATTGATCTTTAGATAATTGATATAAATTTGATGTTTTATCAGGTTGTGTAAAAATTTTGTCCATATTCTTTTGACATCATTAATTAGTCTGTATTAAAATTGCTTTTTATTTTAAAAAAATTTAATAAGATTTAGTAAATCATTTTCATACGTAAGAATGATTCACTCATCCATTTAGATCCAAGTTTTGATGATCATCTGAGTATCCAAAAGTTTTAACATTGATTATGTTCAGTTATTTGTAAAGTGGTCTCATAGATATTAAAAAGTTTTGGATCCAAGACTATGAGTTACCAATTTTAACTTTTTGGTTGCGGTTAACTGAAAATGATCAGAGTCAAGTATTCCCAATTCACTAGTTAATAGCCCAAGTAGTTTTTGCTGATCAATAGTGTCCAAGGCAGCACTTATATCAGGTAACATTAGTACTGAAGGTGTATGTTTATCAAAGAGCTCAAATATATCATTGGTAAGCTTAAGTAAAAGTGTTTCAGTTGAGTGATGTTTTTTGTATCCATATTGATATTCTATATGAAGATTGTTTGTTTGATTATTTTTACTATTTTAGTTTTCAAAGAGGCATGTTTCTGCACAATTTCTTTCATTACTCGATTATATATTGTTATTTTTCTTCCATATTTTCAGCTGATGATATTTCTGGTTTATTTTATAATATTTCATTGTTAAAGGACTGTATGCCTACAGTTTTTAAATTCCTGTATGTGATAGTATGGTACATCTTTTTTTTTATTTTTTGTTCTACTTTAATCTACTTAAATTTACTTCTAAATCAATGAGAAAATGGTCACTCAAATCTAAGTCTGTCACAGCTAGCATAATTACTGATATTTCATCTGGCTTATTAATTACTACATCTAGTATATGTCCCATTTTATGAATTGGTTGTTTGACTTGTGTATGATTTAGTACATCTAGTATTTTATGAATTGGTTGTTTGACTTGTGTATGATTCTAGTATTTCTAGTATTTCTTTAAAGTTTTTGCTGTATAGTTCTTTAGTATCTAAGAACATGTTCCTATGTGTTGTGTAGTGCAACCTGTTCATTCTATTGTTTAGAGTAAATCCATGAGTTTGTCCAGAAGTGTTGTGTTAGAGATAAAGATTAGTCTATGAATGCAAATTAAAATTATTAATTGCTTCGTTATAGTATTTTTAACACACACACATGTTAATTAATTGTTTTAACATAATTCCTACCCTGCCACTTTTTTCTTTATTAATTTTTATTTCTTATTTTGTGGTACAAAACATATCCATAATTTTTTATCATTGCTGTTGTATTATTGTTTTCAGAAGTTATCCATGTTTCGGTAATAAAATGTCTGGATTCCAGTCAAGTATGTGATCCGTTGCATCTGGAAGTTTATTTGTAAGAGAGCAAACATTCTTTAGTGAGCAAAATATATGGTTTGTGTAAGTTTTATCATCCTTCTGGGCCTAACGTTTAAATGATTGATTTCAAGTTTATTTCAAAGTATTTTCTTCTCTCTCAATTGAAGGACATTTAATATCAAAAGCACAATGAAAATGATCATTTTGTCTATCTAAAACACAGTTAATACATTTTTTATCTATTGAAGAGCACTGATTAGTTTGTTGTTTTTTTGCTACATTTAGCATATATTGGATCTTGTTTCTTGATTTCATTTGCATAATTTTTGAAGCTTTAACAGTTAAAACAACACATTACATTGAGTTTGTTATATATTCTGCAGGAAGTTAATCCGATTGTGACTTTGTTTTTATAAAATTGAAAATCTTTTCATAATATTTTACTTATTTTTACAAAGACTTTCAGAATATTGATGGTTTGTTTTTTATTGATTTGATAGCTTCTATTTTAAAATGATCTTTAATGTTGTTCGCCTTGCTAAATTCTTAGATAATATTGTTCTGTGAGTGTAGCTAGTATACTATTATTCATGACTTTAAGTATACTATGTTAGTATTATTAATTTTTTCATCAGATATTTTTCCTATGACTAAGCGGAAAATCTGGCGTCTGAGTTTTCACTAGATTTATTCGTTCCTTGTTAAACCATAAATTATCTATTTTTGATTTAGTATCACTTTTTTTTAAAGTTGTTTTATTGAATGAATGGCCATAAGATTTGAATATAAGTGTTGAATTTGAAGAAAAGTTCTTTGCTTTATCCTTAAGAGAGGTATCAAGATCATGAATGAGAGATGGAATGTTAGACCTACCTTTGTTAATGACACTGTTTAAGATTTTCCGAAAATTCTCTAGAAAAGTCTCTAAAGCCTAACTTCTGAGATAAGATACAGGATTTAATGAACTGAGAATAATGGAGCTTAGTGTCTGACAGCACCTTTTTACATCAAAAATAAATAACTGTTTGATCTCAAGAAAGTTTTTCTTTTGGTAAAGATGAAAAAAATGATTACAACCATAGCAGCTGTACAAGAGAGTGAAAACCATGGAGTAGAATGAGGCTTGATTTGGAACTGATGAGAAGAAATAAAAGCATCCATTCCTGCCTGAATCCAGGAGGTTATGTAGGAGGCGCATATTTCAGCTTCACAAAGAAAATCATGAAAAGAGTCCCAGTCAGCTTTAGGGTAGTAGTAAGTAGTGCGATGATAGGGTGAGTCCAAAAAAGAAGTACAAGATGAAAGATTTAAAGAGATCATTGCATGGTCAGAACCACCTAAGGGAAAAAATGGAGAAACTGAATTCAAGCTAGGATTAGAGACAAGACATAAATCAAGGAGCGAATTAAATGATTAAGGTTATCAGGAAAACAAGTCACAAAGTTAACAATCTGAGTAAGACATTGAGAAATGCAGAAGTTATAGGCTTTAGTGCCAGCAGGGTCAGTGGCATTAGAGCCAAGCCATTAAAGTCACCAATAGCAGGGATGTTAGAAGAGGGGTAAAGAAAAAGGGCATAGTCAATTTGATCAGAAATAACATCTAAAAGAGTGCAGTGTTGGGAAGATGGAGAACAATAAAGAGCAAAGAGAAAGGTGATAGAATGAAGAGGTGCTAAGTGAAAGCACATAAAAGAATGGTCAAAGGATTCGAACTTGATTTTACAATAAGTAGGTGAATAAATGTGTATGTATACCCCAAGCCAAGCATATGGCTGTTTAGCCTTAACGAATCAAAGGATAGTAGCCAGAATCAAAGGATAGTAACCTTTTTATAAAAAGACAAAATTTTATTGGTTTAGTAAAAGTACAGAATTATAAATAATACTGAATATATTTGATTGACAGAATAAATGTAGTTTAAAAAACATTTTATTAGTTAAGTTATAAATGAATTTTTATAAATAAATTGAATTTTTTCGAATGAAATAAATTTGAAACAATAACTGGAAATGTTAACTTTTTTTTAAAGTCCAGATAATAAATATAGCGATCAAAAGAATTTAATCAAAATAGTTTTGCCATTGTTTAATAATCTCAAAAGTTTGAGATCATTAAACGTCAAAATGATGTAATAGTTTTCAAAATGATGTAATAGTTTTCTTGTGATAAAAGTTGGTTAAATAGAAAGTTACATTTATGAAAAAGAGCAAAATATAGCAGACAATTTTTACATTTAAAACGAAATTAGTAACTAAATCACTTGCAAAAAAAAAGGTTGTTATTTTTTTTATTATTATCAATCAAAACTGTCAAACAAATGAAATTTGTATGCATTCAAAAATGATATTTTTAACTATTAGCTCTTTTTAATTGCAGTTTTCTTTCGT